AGAGCAATTGGTGGTGGTAGCCGGGTACCATCTAGTTCTTCTGGTGGAAGCCGTCTTCATGTGGTCCTCCAGTCCTTTGGGCTAATATTTTCCTTGTGTCTTTGGTTTTCGAAAGCTTTTAAGACCCCAGACGCTACTTACCAAACTAGGATGTAGAATATTGTCTTTATGGACTATATCATGCCAATTGACCAAGTTGCCTCACAAGACTATGGTCCTAAGCCCTCAAACCCAGTGAACCAATCCCGTGAGGTGTTTGGTTATGTCTAGTAAGTATCTATAACTGTGCCCCCTATGTGCTTTTACATTTGAAAATACATGCAGCACATATAAACGTTTATATGCATATATTCATATGCCTACAACTACACCTATATACGCACATCTGTATATTCATATATGCCTTCCTGAACGTGCATCCATATCTATGTAACCACACGCATATTTTTAGTTGTTATGACCGTTATTGCAAAATTGCGTATCCCCCAATGAATTTTTTTCACACAAATTGTTCATTGACATTATTTGCATTCATCACAATTTGTCAGCATTCTCTTTCATTGCGTCTATACCCTTCTATCCGTGCTCAGACACTCATCTTTACTATAGCTGTGCTGTGCTCACTACTTCCATAGTTGACGCCTCTTTTCCCATCACCAAAAGCAACAAGTAGCTCTACGTTCTCAAACATCTGACTTCCTTCTTTACTCACTGATGGCCCAAGAGCTCACAGTGAGTCCTGTGGCCACAAGAGGGCGACGTGGACACTCTTTCCATTGGAAATAGTTACACAGAACAAAAACCAAGATTTAATTCATGGTCAGGCCTCGGGATCCTCCGCCCTGCAGTCTATCCACACTGGGTCCTCCCGGGATGTAGTGGGAAACGCGCAGTTTTTTTTTCTGTTTATTATTGTAGTTTAAGTGAAAGTTTATATTTCAAGTTAGTCTCTTATACAAAAATTTATACATACATTGTTATGGGACCCTAATTGCTCTCCCCATACTGTGACAGCACACTACTCCTTTCTACTCCTGATTTCCCGTGTCCATCCAACCAGCTCCTGACCCTCTCTGCCTTCTCATCTCTCCTCCGGACAGAAGCTGCCCATTTAGTCTCATGTATCTACTTGAGCTAAGAAGCACACTCTTAACAAGTATCATTTTATGTCCCATAGTCCAGTCTAATCTTTGTCTGAAGAGTTGGGAAAGGCGCAGTTTCAAGAGTCAGACCAGCCTGGATAGGAATCTTGGCTCTACCACTTACTAGCTATATGACTTTAAATAAATTACTGAAGCTTTCTGAGCTATAGTCAAGCCTCTGAATATGATCATGATATTGCTAATATGGTAACAGACAACATGGAGCACTTACTATGTGCCAAGCACAGTTCTAAGTATTAATACTTTACAGGTATGAACTTGTTCAATCTTCAACTCTACGAGAAGATGCTATTACTGTCTTCATCTTACAGATGAGGAAACTGCAGCACAGAGAAGTGAAGTAACTTACCCAATGACACAGAGCATGCTAGGAGCAATCTGGCCAACCTCTGCAGCACCGTCCTGAAGACTGTTGTCGTTGTTGTTAGGTGCCGTCACGTCAGTTCCGACTCATACCAACCCCATGTACAACACAACAAAACACTGCCCGGTCCTGCGCCATCCTCACAATTGTTGTTATGCTTGAACCCATTGTTGCAGCCACCGTGTCAATCCAGCTCATTGAAGGTCTTCCTCTTTTTCACTGACCCTCTACTTTACCAAGCATGATGTCCTTCTCCAGGGACTGGTTCCTCCTGATAACATGTCTAAAGAACATGAGATGTCACACACTTTATTCATAGAGACTAAAAAGAGTAAATAGCTATGAAATACTCGACATATGAAAACATTTTGTAACTATCCCCCTTGTATCAGTTAGGATTAGGTTTGGCTACATAAAACAGAAAATCTAAATAGTAGTAGCTTAAAGAAACTAAAAGGTTTTTTTTTTTTCCTCTCTCTCCTGTAGAAGAAGTTTCAAAGGGCAAGCCAGTGCTGGAAGGGCGAGCTCATCTCGCTAGGGGCCTCACTAGGCTCCTTCTAGCTCTCTGCTCTGCTCTGCTTTGCTCAGGGTTTCCACTCTCAGGGTTGCCTCCTGGTTGTGAGATGCATTTGTAACTGCAGACACCACATCCATGTTCTGGGCAGTGGGAATGAGGAAGAGGCCAAGGTAAAAAAAACTAAGTGAGTTAAGTCAAAAAGCCAAAAAACCAAACCACCGCCATCAGGAGGATTCCAACTCATAGTCATCTCCCTTCACAGAGCTTTCTAAGAAGCTCCGCCCAAAGACTCCCACCTACTTCTCATTGCTGTTCCTACCTACAGGGGGGGCTCTGAGAGACATGGTTTTGCAGCTGGGTACATTGCCACCTGTCTTAGTTATAACGAACAGAAATTTATTTTCTCACAGTTTAGGAGGCTAGAAGTCTGAATTCAGGGCACCGGCTCTAGGGGAAGGCTCTGTCTGTCTTGCTCTGGGGGAAGGTCCTCGGTGATCATGTGGCATGCATTTTCCCCTCCCTTTGTGTCTGCTTGGAGCCCTGGTGGTACAATGGCTAAGAGCTCAGCTGCTAACCAAAAGGTCGGCAGTTTGAATCTACCAGCCACTCCTTGGAAACCCTACGGAGCAGTTCTGCTTTCTCCTACAGGGTCGCTGGGAGTCGGAATCGACTCGATAGCAACAGGTTTGGTTTTATTCGGTTGTTTCTGCTTGCTTGCCTAATCTGCTTTTTTATATCTCAAAAGATATGGATTTAAGACACACCCTACACTTATGTCTCATTAACGTAACAAAGAAACTCCATTCTCAGATGGGGTTATAACCACAGGTATAGGGGTTAGAATTTATAACACATATTTTTTGGGGGATACAATTCAATCCATAACAGCACCTTCAGTAACATAAGGGCTCTGTTAGTAAGGAAGAATGAAACATTGGCTATTGAATAAGCAGCTAGCAGTCTCCCCTCTCCAGGCATTGAGATGTCCCATCCTACATTTCAGAGCTTTCCCATTTGACAGTCTTCCTGAGGTCTTACTTTAGCTCCTTCTGTTGCTGTCTCAACTTTTTGCCCTATCTTCTTCAAACCCTTTGTTCTTAGACAGGGAACAGACAAGAGAGTCTCCAATCATCTTGCTGGATCAAAAGTTTAAAACGCTTTATTCATTCACACGACAAATATTGACCGAGTACCAACTGCTCACCGGAAACCCCACGAACCAGCTGCCATCAAGTCAACTCCCACTCCTGGGACCCGCTGTGTGTCAGAGTAGAGCTGTGCTCCATAGGGTTTTCGATGGCTGATTCTTTTCGGAAATAGACCACCAGGCCTTTCTTCCGAGGCACCTCTGGGCAGAATAGAACCTCCAACCTGTCGGTTAACAGCCAAGTGTGTTAGCCATTTGCACCACCCAACGACTCCAAAAGAATCAATACATATGAACTACAAGCCCAGATTTTTTTTTTTTTTAGATTCAACACACTAAAATCTGTAAAAATTGCTATAAAAGTTTCTAAAAGCTTACTCTCTATTTCTGTACTTATCTGGTCATGGACCAGTGATAAACTGTGACCTGACGCGGGTCCATGGAGCACATTTTGGGTGATGTATCCCACTCCCAGGCCTGCAAAAAAACCCCATGTGTGCTCCTCCGTGCTGTTTGCTTGATATCCATTGCCGTCAAGTTGATTCCGACTGCTGGCGACCCTATAGGACAGGGTAGAACTGCCCTGTAGGGTTTCCAACGAGCACTGGGAGATTCAAACTGCCAACCTTTTGATTAGCAGCTGTGAGCTCTTAACCACTGCGCCACCAGGGCTCCTTTTGCATGATAGGCATTCATTAAGCTGAGTTAATGAAGGTCCCTGCATGGCTGCACAGAGGAGGGCTGCCCTCCCACCCAAGTAGCAAGAAATAAACTTCTATCGAATTTGAGCCACCATTCTTATTTGGGTCTATTTGTTATAGCAATTAGTCCATCCTAACTAATACAGTGGAGCCCTGGAAGTGCAGTGGTTAAGAGCTCGGCTGCTAACCAAAAGCTCCGTAGTTTGAATCCACCAGCCGCTCCTTGGAAACCCAGTGGGGCAGTTCTCCTCTGTCCTCTAGGGTCACTATGAGTCGGAATTGACTCAACAGCAACCAGTTTGGTAATTAATACAACACGCTTGTATTATTTTTCACAAGACTAACTCTATTCAGAAAGAAATGCTTGGTAAATTTTTGTAGTGAGAGGTTAAGAGCAAGCTGTTAAGATGCAATGGGGGAAACGGGCTCAGGATGTTCATGGAGCAACAGCCAAAGATAGGAAAAATGTCCCAGTGGGTGAGCTACCTGTTATGGACTGAACTGTGTCACCCAAAAATGTATATCAATTTGGCGAGGCCATGATTCCCAGTATCACATGGCTGTCCACCACTTTGTGATCTGAGGTAATTTTCCTCTGTGTTGTAAATCCTAACCCCTACGATGTTAGTGAGGCAGGATTAGAGGCAGTTTAACACAACTGAGGCAGGACTCAATCTACAGGATTAGGTTGTATCATGAGTCAATCTCTTGAGATACAAGAAGAGAGAACTGAGCAGAGAGGAGAGGGATCTCATACCACCAAGAAAGAAATGCCAGGAGCAGAGTGTGTCCTTTGGACCCTGGGTCCCTGCGCTGAGAAGTTCCTAGACCAGGGGAAGGTTGAAGGACCTTCCCCCAGAACCGACAAGAGTTTCTCTAGAGAAGGTCTTCCCAGAGAACAGGCACCCTGAATTTGGACTTCTAGCCTCCTAGTCTGTGAGAGAATAAAATTTCCATTTGTTAAAGCCATCCACTTGTGCTATTTCTGTTGTAACAGCACGAGATAACTAAGACAGTGCCTTAATACCAAAGTATTTCTGAAGGGAGCCCTCACTCTGCAGGATTTCACATCAGGATGAGATTCCACTCTGGAAGAACCTGACGAGTTTCTCTTGGGTACAAACATTAAAATGGTGTAACAGGCAGATTTCTATGAATCGGCTTGTATGTAGTAGCTGCTCTACAAATGCGGATTCTGGAGCCAAGTGTCGAGCCTTGCTGGGGGCAGGCCCACCCTCAAGCCAAACCTGGGAGGAGAGGAGTCTTTTCTGCACAGAGACGTGTCTTCTAGCCAAAGATCTCCCCTCACTTGTTTCGTGTTAGTATCCACTGTGTCTTGACAGCGGCAAGGCCTTCTTGAGTGACAACTTCCTTTCATCTTTCTGGACTTTCAGAATCTCTCCTTGCTTTCAGAGGAGGTGAGAACGAGTGTTGGCAACGAGCAGAGTTGTCTACTATGTCTGAGACAGAAACAGAAAGATGAGTTTGCAGAGGGTCAGAAACCCACTCTCTCAGACCTAAAAGGGAACACCCATATGCCTGGGTCGGCGGTTCCTTCAAGCAAGAGAACTGGTCCTTCAAAGAAAGTGTGCAAAGTTAAGGAAACTGTCAGCTGTCAGCTACCCAGAAGGTTTATCTGATTAGGTGTTTATTTATTGACCTCTAAAGACACAGAATAATTAACTTGCCTCACTGCCCTATGCCAGGAGGCCGCAGGGATCTACCCAGTGGACAGGAGCCTCGGTTCTTCTTCTTCTTTCAAATCACTAAATGATCCTGTGTGAGTCATGGCACCATTTTCTTCTTTATGAAACGGCGAAGGGGATAGTTTTCCTCCCCAAAAGGAGCAGATAGTATGTATTTTTCTATAGAAGCGCTCCAATCCACAAGGAAAGTTATTTGAGGACCACGATGAAATAAAAAGCATCTTAATTGAATCCTGATGAAAGGTCAAGCTCTTCTGGTTTTTAAATTAAGAACTTGGAACACAGAATAACTGTAACAAAATTTTAAACCTACTTAAATTCTATATTATAGTTGGAGCCCTGGTGGCACAGCGGTTAAGAGTTAGAGCTGCTAACCAAGAGGTCGGCAGTTCGAATCCACTAGCTGCTCCTTGGAAACCATACGGGGCAGTTCTGCTCTGTCCTATAGGGTCACTATGACTCGGAATCAACTCAACGGCAAAGGGTATATTGTAGTTAACTAAACCAGGAAAGAAGAAAAAAAAGAAAATGCAAAGTGGAAGGTAAGAAAGAAGAAAACAATTTCAGATGGTAAGAGACTGACAGATGATATGGAGGAGAGGGTCAGACGCAGACCCAAAAAAAAGAATCGGCGAGGAAAGAAAGCGGCAGAGACGAGAGAGAGAGGAGGAGGTAGGGAGGACTCACTGGAGTGAGTAGACGTCTTGTCCCAGGTGCTTTACGACCGACGTCTGGTGTTTCTTCAATACGCGTTCATCATATACTTAAGGTCTAAAGCAGGGAATGACTTGATCAGATGTGCTTCTTTGTTTTTTCATGTTCTCCTTGGAAGCCCCATGGGGCAGTTCTGCTCTGTCCTTTTGGTTCACTCTCAGTTGAAATCAAATGCATAGCAACGGGTTTGGGTTTGTTTTTGTTTTTTTTGGTATTTCTAGAAGCTTGTGTATGTGGTAAAAATATACATAACAAAACATTTCCAAGTTCAACTTTTACGTACACAATTCATTACACTGATTACATTCTTCGAGTGGGGCAAGAATTCTTGCTATCCTTTTCCAAATCATCCCACCACCATTAACAGAAACTCAGTGTCCCCTAAGCCATACCTTCCCCTTCCCCTTCCTCCCACCCCAGGTAACCACTAATAAACTTGGGTTTCTATGCATTTGCCTACGTCATGTCAGTGAGATTATACAGGATTCGTCCTTCTGTGACTGACGGAGTTTGCTCAGCATGATGTTCTCAACGCATCCATGTTGTGGCATGCATTAAGATTTCCTTTCTCTTTACGGCCGAGTAATATTCCATTGGGTGCACACACATTTTGTTTATCCATTCATCCGCTGAGGGACATTTTGGTTATTTCCACCTTTTGGCTGTCGTGAACAGCAGTGAACACTGGCGTACAGATCTGCTTGTGTTCCTGCTTTCCATTCTTTTGGGACGTACCTAGGATTGGGATCCCCGAGTCATACGGCCGTTCTCAGATGTGCACTTTTAAAAGATCACTCTAGCTGCAGAGGAGCATGGATGGCCCCGGGAGATAATTTCACAGACCATCATGGAAGTCTAGGAGAGAGATGGTGCTGGCTTGGATGAGGTGGTGGCTGGAAGGATGCAGAGAAGCAGACAGAATTAAGGGATTTTTAGGAGAAGAAATGAAGAGACTTAGCCCCTTTTACATGCTCTTATTGTACCTTATACTTCTCTCACCAAACCCTTTATCCCACTGAATTGAAATTGCCTGTTGATGTATTTGTTTTTCTCTCTAGACCTGGGCTGTCTGGTATGGTACCCATAGTCACATGTGCTTTTGAGTACTTGAAATGTAGCTAGAGCGAATTCAGACGGCTGTAAGGGGTAAAATGCACAGTGAATTTCAAAGACTTAATTTGAAGACAAATGTAAAATATCTTATTAATAATCTATATGTTGATTACCATTAAAACGATATTTGCTTAAATATGTTATTAAAATCAACTTTATCTGTTTCGTTTTACTTTTTTAACATGGCTAAGAGGAAATTTAAAATTACATATGTGGCTTGCATTTTATTCCTGTTAGACAGTGTTGCTATAGACCATAAGAACTGAGGTACCTCCAAGGCCTAGTATGTGTTGAATGAATAAATAAATGATATTCAGCCAATGCAAATTCAGTCTCTGACTACAGGTATATATTAATGACGATGGCTTTTGGCTTCTATTTCAGCTTTTCCATGCCGAGGAATGTACTTTCTAAACCAGCTAGACGCAAACATTTGCCCAGAATTTGGCCACACTTTCGTCTTCTCCTGAGCGCAGTTCACTTTCAGCTCAGTCAATGGCTCTGGAAGCTCAGCAGCGCAGACATGGCTTGATAACTGAGAAGCATCCTAAGATTTACATTCTAAGAGCAGCCAGCAAAACATGATACCTGCACATCAAAATCCGGGACTCTCTTCTGAAGTTGTGACTTCATTTGCACCAAATCACCTGGCACCTTGTCAAAGTCAGTGCTTCTACCGTGCTCAAGGTGTTTGAACGAAAGGTAACACGTGCGGCACTCAGCTGACGCCATTGTCATGGCCAGCTCCAGTGTGGACACCTACACATCTTTGAACAAATCAGCACGGCTCTTGTTTTATTCCCCTGCAGGGTTCCATGCACCATGCTCAGCTGTCACGTCCCATCAGTAAGAAAGTACAATCTTATGAGCCAGAAGGGGTCTGGCATGTTGTATTTCTCAGGACCTTTTTGATTAATTCACTGAAGTCCTTAAGGAAACAGCCTGGTAAATCTCTTCCACAAGTTTTTACTGCTTAGCAGTCTTCCAGCATTAAAATAAACTAGATCTCCATGTTCTGCTTCAGCCTTTTCCCAAACATACTGAAAACTGAATATGGCTGAGGGCAGAAACACAAAGGCAATTCTGTTTTAATCAATTCCTCCGTGGAATCACGTGACTTGTAGCACTCCCAGCACAAACTCTCCTAATGAATGATGTCATGGAATCAAGGGCCCACCAATCTCTTTCGACATGAATACTTGAACAACAAATAGAGAAATCTTTTCCCCTCATCTGCGTCAACTGAGCTTCGCTTTACCGTGTTTAGACAAACTTCTTAAGTTCCATATTGACAAGAAGTTAGGCCCTACTAGCTAATTAGGCACATATTTTTCCCCCCTAAAAAATTTTAAGTGGTCCACATTCCAAGATCAAGAAAGCCTGCACCTGGGAAAAGGATGACTACTTCCACACTAAGCTTCACTGATGAAGTCATTGAGCTAGACGGTCCCATCCTGACATTTTCCTGTGTGTGTAATACAGGACATGGGACACTCATTCATTTATTCAGTGTTTGCCATGTGCAAAGCACTTTGGAAGATATCAAGTTAACTAATACTAATAGCTATCATTTAATGAGTCTCTGTTCTACCCTAGGAGGCCTAGCGGCGCGGTGGTTAAAAGCTTGGCTGCTAACCAAAAGGTCAGCAGTTCAAACCACCAGCTGCTCCTTGGAAATCCCATGGGGCAGTTCTACTCTGTCCTATAGAGTTACTATGAGTTTGAATTGACTCCACAGCAATGGGTTTGTTTTTTATTAAACCCTAAACCAAAAAACAAACAACAAACAAAAACCTGTTGGTATCGAGTTGATTTGATGCTGACAGCAACCCTACAGAACAAAGCAGAACGGCCTCATAGGGTGTCCAAGAACAGCTGGTGGATTTGAACCGCCCACCTTTTGGTTAGCAACCAAGCTCTTTAACCCTGGAGTCACCAGAGCTTCTTATCATACCTTAGATCCTTTGAAACACACAACACTGCAAGCAAGATTTCTGGTATACAGAATGGCGTGGAGTATATGTATACTAAAACCTAAACACCATTTCTAACGGAATCAGAAGGTATGTCAGATTGTTTTAAAAAGATTTTATGTTATACAAAACCAGTACAATCCTGACTTACAGTGATCTCATATGTGCCAGAGGCACGTCAAATGCCCTTTCCCCCTGAAAAGTTTCGGGGCGTTAGGGACTATTTTCTCCGAATGTAACCTTCCACCAAACTGGAGGGAACTAGGCCAGAGAAGAGTTGTGCTCCATAGGGTTTCAATGGCTGATTTTTTGGAAGCAGATTGCCAGGCCTTTCTTCCGAGGTGCCTCTGGGTGGACTCAACCTTTCCATTAGCAGCCCAGACCATTAACCGTTTGCAGCACCCAGGGCCTCCTTTATGTTAGCTATGTATTTATGTTATATATAAACCTATTAGAGATATATATATGCATGTGTGCATATATATAGATATATGTACATATATGTGAGCGTATATGTATGTCAATCCAGTTCTCTAACTCATTTGTAAACCTTTTGGGGCTGGAATCATGATACCCCTAACACTTCTAAAATGAGAGTAAGCACTCCCCAAATGTTGACAGTACCAACCAGGAGAAAGATAATAAGCGAGAGAGAGAAGCTGTTTCCCATCTCCAGTAAGGACGACATGGCAAACAAATATTCAAAATGCACGTAGCAATAAAGCGAAACTTCCTAAGTCTGAATAAATCAGCACCGCCAGTAGGATATTAACCTACCATTGAGATTTTAAAAAATAATCTGAATTAAACCGGGGCTGAACTAGGTATAATCGTATTCACTAAAACAAGACAAAAATTCAAAGTCGTCACCCGTGAAAATGTACATTACTTACCAGGGTGACGTTTTGGGGAGTCGGCCCCCATTTGGCAAAACTACTGCGATTCCAAAACCTTCCTAGTGTTACGTGAGAACAGAAGCCAGAGCCTCAGGGCCTGATTTGGGGGCCTATCAAAATGTAATTTACATCTAAATCTGAGAAAAAGGAAGTAAGGGTAAATATACATATTAAAATCGCTTTTTTGGTCCCCTGCAGGTCACCTCATTTTTGGCACTCTTAATATGGCTCCCTTAACACAGTCTGAGGCCAGGAGATCATGACGACAAAAAGAAATGGTCCATAAGAAAAGACGGTTCTTGAAAACCCAAACCCACTCCAGAGCTCGGAAGATCCGGGGCGCAGCCTTCCCCGCGGCCAGCAATCCTCCCGGCGGACGGGCGAATGCGCGGCGGGAGGCGGGCGGTTGGCGGAGGCGCGGCGAACGGGCGGAGGGCGGGCG